CGCGGTGCTCGCTCGGCCGACCCCGCTGCCCATATGCAGTTATGCATAGTTGACTGGCCGGGACACGGAGCGTCAGCTGAGCCGAGTGTCCGTGCCGGGCACAGTGGCGCAGTGGCAGGACACCGTCAGGGCGGAGCCGATCCCCGTGTCAGCGGCGACACGGGTGTCTCCCAGCCACTCGGGCCGCTGTGTACGGCCGCTGGGAGCGCACAGATGCGCCCCGATAGTGTGTGGGCGCCGCGACAGCCGATAGGACGCGCCGGTGGGCCGGCCGGCGCCCCGGCTCGCCACTGTCACCTGCCTCCCTCCGGTCCGGCCCGACCCGCTTACCATACAATCGTATGCGGCACGGCGCCGGCACATTGAGCCATTGTCGCTGCATTTTTGCCGGCAGTGGGACGCTCGTCCGTGCAGCTCAACGGCTGTGGCAGACGGACAGGACAGGGATGGGGCGGCGTGGTGAGAGCTAGAGGACGTGAGGGTGACAGGATCTGGTGACGCAGTGACCTGTCAGCCTGTCTTGACCCGTCACAGCCTATCACGTCTGTCAGCGTGTCTTCGGCCAGACACATTTAGCCTGTATACCTGTCATCTTGTCTGAACCCGTCACGGTCTGCGTGTCTGTCTCAGCTGTACCTCTGTCTGTCTGCACTCTGCACACTCGTCCAGCCACCCAGCCTGTCGCACAGCCCACCCCGCATCGGCGCCAAGTGCCAAGAGGCCAGTTCGTCTACTCGTGCTGTGGCCACCTTTTTGGACAGGCTTGCTTTTTATCGTCCACTGAACATGACTTGTAACTTACAGTAATTAGTATGGCGTTGGCCGGGGATCGGGTGCGACACCTGGCGTCGCTGCCGTCTGCAGTCTGACGCCTCTGCAGGGCACGCAGAGCGACGGACGCTGCACGCACAGCGGCCACTGCGGCGGATTACCTGTCCCCGTCGGCCGCAGCGGCCGCCAGTCGCGTGTCGCCGCCCCGGGCCGCGGGGCTGATATTTTAATGGTGTCGTATCGACACCATCGGTCGTCCGGCGCATATGACGTGTCCGGCCAGTTTTAATTGGTGGTGTTTGGCGTGGCGCGGTCCGTGTCGCGATAGGCCGGCGCGTCCCGGCGACGTGTCGGGCCGCTGACACGGCGGCTTTTTCCCGCCCGGCCGGCTCCGAGTGATTAATTAACGCCCCGATAATCAGCCTGATTAATTGAGCGTGGCGGTGTAGCGCCGCGGACGGACGGACGGACGGCCGGACGGGCGGCGGGGCCCGGGTCGAGGATTACGGACGGCGCAGGTGTCACTGGCGGGGGCGGCGGCGGGGCGGCGGCGGGTGGGGTTGGCAGCCGCCTGGTGCCGGTCACGGCACGGCCGGACGACAGGGCAGGTCACCGACCGACCGGCCGACCGGCCTCAGTTAGCTAAGTGCTGCCACAGAACTGTCCCAGGACTCGATGGTTTTGGGTGGGACTACGGCGATGGGTAGAGCTCTGGGCCAAGACAGATCGCGGTGACATGTTCCATTGTCCTGGTTTTTAGCTCAGTTCCACAGCTTCTCTTTTATAATCTACGCCCTACGGTTATGCTGGTTACTGACCAACGATTCCACGATATTCTAAACATGCCTGCCCTCATGGGTTTCCCTTTCGCTTTATTTGCTTTTGGTAGGTATGCATTTTTAGCTCGACAAATGCGGTTGTTGTGAAGCTGCTCCTGCTCACCATTTTTGTCACTGCTGGCATTTGGGGAATAACTAACAATCACATATTTTGACATGTCTGGAGTACCGTTTAGCCTCATGTGCTTAGCGACGTCTTTGTCCGCGTCGCAAGGAATGCTGGTTTTATAAAACGACCAGTCATTCCAACTGGTCCATCCATCTGCCACGGCTTATCATCTCAATCGACCTAAACAAAACACAAAATGACATGAATGTGTCCAATACACAATGGCCGTGCGATACCTACTGTGATAGTGCGACGGACACAATAAGCAGTGACAATCTGTCGCTCTGTTATGCCACGATAACGCCTATCGCATATCGTTTCGACAGCAGGTGTCAGTCCCGTGCCTTTTTATAAGTGCGCTGTGTTATCGTTTGATTGGCATCTGTCTTGTGTCAGCGCCCACACGCGGTCGTCCTGTGTTGATTTAAGTGCGGACTGTCCATGGGGCTGGTGGACCTCATTAGGACACCCTTCTGGAGAAGGTCGTTGCCAGACCGCGCTACCGCAGGCCACTGTCTTATTCGCTCGCCAGCGGAGCTGGCCGGACATGTCCGAGCTGGCCGGGCCGACCTGCAGTGTGGCATGTCTCGGTCCACCGCGTGTCCTGGATTTCCTCACCTTCGGCGCGGCAGTGCCGGATGAACTATATCTGAGATAACGTCCGGAATTCAGGTTTGGCCAGACGAGGAATGCGAAGGTCGCGATCCGCTCTCGGGGCCGGCACAAGTCCCGCGACGGCCCGTGACCGATGTCGGGCGATAGGATCGCGCCGTGGGCCCGAGACCGGCGTCCCGTCGCGCGCTGCCCATGCACCCTCGCCAAATGATGTCGTTATTCGGTTATCTCCGTGTGAGATGGCGAGCGATCTGGGGGTCCCGCCGCCGTGGCTTCTCTGGAGAGAGAGGATGGAATTCCCGCAGGAAGCCATAAACATTGAATGTGTCTAGCTCATTGTGTTCAGCTTTGAGGCGCCCAAAGTTTGTCTTTTTGCCGATGCTGTGTGCTTACTAATCCGTATGCGATTCGCGACATTGTGAAGAAATCCCTCAGAAATGCATCTGGCTTTTCTCACGCCGATAAACGCCCGCCCGCATCGTCTCAGAAAACTTCCGCTGTGCCTGGCACGGCTCGAATCCCAGCTAATTGAGTCCCTCGGGATGCCGGGGTAATGTGGCGTACATGAATGTGTTGACTTTCCTATTTCCGTGTAATCACGTCAGAGTGTCTGGGACTGGCTGATCACTGGCCGCGTCTCAACACTGAAATGTATCGGTTTTTATTGTCGCTCTCTTCGGCGACCGTTCTGTGCGGCATGCGATACGACCGGTTCACGTCTGAGTCGGTCTGGCTTTCCTGGGACTGCAGGCCGGTCGTCCGTATCCTGGTCGGTCGTCCCGGGTAGGTGGGACACACACGTCGGTGTCATGCAGACACGGCGCGGCACCGAAGGCCGTCCGTCAACGGACGATTGGCGTATAACTCGGTTCTGCGACACCTGAGCGAATGTCATTTCAGCGAACGACATTTGAGCGAAACATTTTCAGCGATTATCAATTTAAGCGATTGGCTTTTTCAGCGATTGTCAAGTCGGCGAATTCAGTCACAGCGATTATCAACTTAAGCGAGGACCAGAATCAGCGAAACCAGATTGAGCGAATATATGGTGGTCAGTGGGAGACCAGTTGAGCGATGCAGTTACAGCGAATGACCGAACGCGACGAAAGTCAATCATTTGCTACTTTTCGGAAATTATTGCACCTCTTTACGCATCATTTGAATTTTGAAGACACATATGTACATCGGACGACCAACAAGGGGTGCATGGGAGGGAAAGGAGGCGGGCTAAATTTGAATTGAAAATGCGGAACGTGAGAGGTAGGGCGACGGAAGGAATGCCAAGGACCAATAATAAACTAGAGAGATGGCACAGGGGAATCCAGTATATGTTTCAGCTGAAACATATACTGGATTCCCCTGTGCGAAACTGGATTCCCCTCGCCCAAATATCTGGACATTCGTACGGTGCTTGGGGCAAGAACAAATTTTACAACATGGGGAACTGATCCAAATTCAAGCGGGGCAATTTCGCGAAAAAAGCAAAAGCAATATTGATCTCTGAACAAACGTTTGGTCACCATTATTGACAAAGAGCAGGGTAGGGGGGGGGGGGTGAAATTGAACCGTTGGAATTTTTGACAAATGTAGCATTAATTTTGGAGCTCAATGTCTGACCTTTGAACGCGCGACATCCGCCATCCAGTTCCGGATAACCATGAGAAATTCCGGAAACATTCGTACGGATACGCTCGCAAAGAAAAAAATCCACCGTTACAGGACGATGAAATGTTTCGCTGGACTGACAGTCGCTCAAATTGTAGCCGACGAAATAGATGTCGCTGAAACATAGCTTTCGCTAAAATTGATAATCGCTTTATTTGATAATCGATGAACTTGATAATCGCTGAATTGCCATTCGCTGAAAATGGTTCGCTCAAATGACGTTCGCTCAAATGACATTCGCTAAAGTCGCTCGCACCGGTATAACTCGCCAGTCGCCGATGAGTCTCATTCAGGGGCCTCGCCGCCGAGCTGCGGATGAGGCGCGACTGTTCTGTTTGTGCCGTCAATCAAACTGATAACTGCATTGGCCAGGGCAGGCTCGTCAATCTCTGGCCGTTAGCCGTCACATAAAGAATAATCACACCGACAGGCAAAACACGAGCGCTCACAAAAGGCTGTCACTCGGCGGCGGTCATAAATACACGGGCGGGCCGTGAGGCGGCTGGCCGTGTCGCCGTGCGGCCGGCGATCGCTCACGGCCGACGCGCGCGGCGGCCACCCGCCGCGGCCGGCGCCGCGCGCCGCTCTGTTTGTCCTCCGGAGGTCGGCGGTGATTTATCCTTCCGCAGCGGGGTGCCGACGTCTGCCATGGGACGACCGGCGGCGAGCCGCGCCCCTCGCGGCCTCCGCGGCATCCGGGCCGGCCTGCCTCAACCTCTCTTACCGCTCTGCTCCCCCGGCGGAACCGATCTGGGCCGACTCGGGCCGCCGTGCGGTCGTAAACTCACGGTAGCACGGATCGTGTGACGAGAAGTGGCCTATTTGGCGGCGATCAAACAGACCGATGGACCGCTGCTTGCGTGTTTATAGACCCGTTTATTCGCTGGAGTAAACCCACGAGCTGATAGTGCAGCTAATATCGGCTCGCTCGAATGCCTGACAGTGAGCCAAGCCTCGCTGGATGACCAAGTGAGTCTCACGCTATTTTCCGTCGGTTTCAGATCCATCGGATAAGCAGTACCAGATAAAGGGCAGCTCGACGGCCGGCAACGAGTATCCGTCGATGACCTCGCGTCGCTTCAACATGACCCCGCCCAAGGTCACCCAGGTGAGTCCCACCCCGTCCCGTCCGGTCTGCGCTGGGTCTGCCGCACTGGTCGAGTGTCTATAGTGCGGAATTTGCAGCGATGGCAGGGAGAAACCCCGAATCATTCGGCCAGGACCGCTGGCCGGTGCTGTTCAGTTCAGCCGGTCCGTTCGTCCACAGGAACTGTGACACGCGAGGGGATTCCAGGGGCGGCCAGCTGCGACCGTGCCGTCCAGACGGCCACAACGCGCTCATCTAAATCTGATCTAAAGCGCCTTTTACATGGATGTTAACTTGTGCCGTGAACCAAAACAAAAGTGTTAACCCGATTTTCCAGGCAGCACTTCACACCTTTAGTTGGAACGGGGCCAGTCCGTTGTAGGATGTGATAAAAACATACGGGAAACGGTGCCTCATATGACCTCAAGAGGCATTTAGACAAATATTTCACGCGTCAAGCTTCTAAAAATATAAATGCTGATTAGATTATGCTGATACGAGATATTTGGGGACTTGTTATGGACATGTTGCTTGTCATTTGTTCTTGCGTTGTGCGCTCATATTCGAATGTGACATCCTAGCATTCGCATTTTAGCATGCGGGTGCATCTGAGCACTCACCCGTATGCTATGATGCGTGTACTTACATAACAACCTTAGTATGCATTTGCACGTCAAGCACACGAGGTCACGCACGCTCACAAAGCCACACATAAATACCCCCTCCCCCTCCCACATACACCACACGTACCACGCTGAGCGCACGTCTCGTCAGTGCCGGCTGGTGTCGCCGATACCATCTGCAGCTGCGCCACACTCGTCCCCGCCGCGCCGAGACTCGTCTCCGGCGCGCCGCGAGTGTCGCCGTCCGCGCGGCTCGTTCCCACCGAGGTCCGCCAGATTAGCTGTGTACCGGCCGGCAAAGCCGTCCGCTGGCCACGTCTTCTTTGTGCCGAGACTGGTGTGAATTTCTGCACCCGAGCAGAAAACTCTGCCGGAGCTGTCACCGAGCTTGTATAATAATGCTGTATAAGGCTCGCCACCGGTGAAATCTCCTGCAGATCGTGTTTGATATTTTTATTCGCCTGCTGGAGGAGTGGCGAAAATTCCTCGTCGCGGGGAACTGGTCCGACCGGTGAGTGGTGTGGGGCGGGCTGGCCGGACGGCTGGCCGTATAGGCGCGCGCGGGCGGAGCGGGCAGGGGCGGGCGGAGGGGACTAATGACTCAATTGCGGGCGCGTGGCTGGCGGCCGGCCGGTGTCCCGTACATTACCTGACCGTGTACCGCCGTCCGCAGGTGTTCCCGGCCAAGTCGCCCGTGCGCAAGATGGTCGGCGGAGACGTGCGCTTCAAGTGCGTCGCCAGCGGCATGCCCAAGCCGGACGTCAAGTGGTTCAAGGTAGGCGTGCCGGCCGGCCGGCCGGCCGAGGTGGGCAAACACGGCGCCGGGTGGGGGCGGACTGAGCGACGGCCAGCGGGGGCAAACAAACGTCGCGGCGTGTCGGGATGCGGCCCAGGGCAAACACTGGACGGCCGCCGCCGCCGCCGCGCCGCTCGTCACCTCTTTGAATGGATGTCTTCTCCAGATGGCTGGCTAAGCAAACAGACGGGAGCCTGCCGGTGATGGCCGCGCTGGGGTGGCGAGCGGGGGCGCCGGCGACGATAATGGCGTGCCGCGACCCATCCCCCCTTCCCACACCACCAGCCGCTCACCGGAGACCCCAGGTCACGACTGGTGCCCGACCTCCACCGGAGACACGTCACCTGTCCGGTCTAACATTCCCCGCTCACCCGCTAAACGTGCTCCCCACTGATCGTCTCGGCGAAAGCTTCGCACCATGGGTACTCATACCGCATACCTACGTGCCGTGTACTGATTGCCCACAGGTGATTTGTACTTTCAGCCATTTCCTTTTTCCTGAACGACATGGAACATTTGGTCTTACCACAATGAGTAAGCCCCAACCCGAGCATATTTCGGATCTAATACCATTCACAATCCGTCAATGTCATCACGTGTCCTTAAAATCGCTGTGCCCATCTCCACCCGACCCGCCTATTTTCAATCCTTCACACCTGAGGCCCTTCCCCCTCCCCTTCCGTCTCCGGTCGGGAGCCCCGGCAGGCGCCTCCCGGCTCTCTCCGGGACGCCTCCCCGCTCTGTCCCCTTCCCTGACAACAGCGCCGGCAGCTGCGCCGTCCCTCGTCTCCGCGCCACACAATACGTTCCCAAATCGGTCCGGTCCGACCCCCCGCGTCCGTCCTATCCAAACAGACCGGGCCGGCGGGGCGCGGCCCGCCCCCATTACCCACGTCAGATAAAGGGGACGACGCGGGGGGCAGTCCCGTCCCGCCCTTTTCACACCGTCAGGGGATGGGGCCATGGGGCGGGGCGGAGAGGGTCGGAGAGTGGGGAAGTGGTTAGCGGTGGACAGGCCCGTGCGGTTAGCCATAGTATTTGGTCGCACTGGGGACACGTGATGTCACGCGTCGCCTGTTTTGACCTAACGCCATGGTAGGGGCTGGCACATGATGTCGACTTACCTGTTGCATTGGCAGGATGGGTCGAAGGCGAATGTATTCCGTTGACCGTTTTGGATATTACCTCACTCGACCCGACCTTACTATTAGGCAGAACGGGACAAAACAAAACTAAGCGCGTCCCGTTTTGTTTGTGTCTTACCTGACCTGACGGGATGTGACCTGACCTAACGTAAATCGACGTGACCCTTCCTGATCTGTCGGCAGGACGGCACGGAGCTGAACGTGTTCCGCTCTGGCTCCGAGGTGGACCTGTCCTCACCAGGTCAGCTGCGTCTCAGAAGCATCACAGGCGAGGATTCTGGCCTGTACGAGTGTCGGGTCATCAGCCCGCTCGGGCACGCCTCGGCCAAGTTCGTACTGAATGTGGAAGGTGAGAACTGAGACGAAACGCTGCATAGACGTGTCTTGCATGTGTCTGATCGTCTGCGAGTATGTTCGCGCCGGTATGATCAGCTAGGGTGTTGAATAAGGGATACCTAAAGCTGTCATTTTGGCGGTGTTCCTGTCAAAATTTTGCCGGAAATTCGGGTAGTATGGGACTGCTGAACTCATCAGTAAAGCATGGATCTGTGATCTCATTTCGACACGCCCTGACCTCTGACCTCTCTGTCGGGCAGAGCCGCACGAGCAGAAGCCGGAGATTGTCGGTGATGAGCCGCAGAACACCACGGTCAACGAGGGTGGCCAGGTGTCCCTGCAGTGTCGCATCAGCGGGCCACCACCCATGCACGTCAAGGTCAGTAGCCTCGAACCAGGCCCCGACCGGTCAAAGGTCAGATTCCCACCGCCGAGATAACTTTCCCATCGTTATTCTGGAGTCGGTGCATAGGCCTACGTGTTCTGTGGGAGGTGTCAGGAGGCGGTGTGACGTACAAACCGCCTCTGTCGTGACGGTGGCGGCGGCGTCACGACCGTGAATGGTGTGACGTGACGGCCGTCGGCGCGTCGGGCCGAGCGTGATGTTTGTGCAGCGATTCAGCCTGTCGGCGGCGCTGGCGCGGCGTCCGTCCAGTCATGCTCGCGCCGCCGCCGCGCGGACTGACGAGAGTCACAGGGAGAGGAGGGTCCGCCGATCGGTGGCCGGGTGACCGTGGGAGCCGCCGGGGCAGAGTTTATTCACGGCAGGAGGTGGGCGCTGGACGGTCTGGTCCCGCACCCGGCGCCACCGCTGCGTGTTTGTGTGTCTGGCCGGCGCGGCTGACCCGGCCTCTCACTATTGTCCTATCTTGTCTGGATCAACTGGAATCCGTTGCAGCCCGTGTTCCGCTCATAAATCACTGGCCAGCTTGTATATCGGCGCTGGCAGCTGACGACAATGGCGTTGACGGCCAACATGTTTGTGTGAGGCGACTGATGGGCGTCGCTCTGGCCGTCTCGCGCCAGACAGCGCCGTCGGCCGGCCACCGCAGATGAAACAACTGATGAAAACTGCGACACCACCGGTGATTACGAAATCACCTGCAGGGGAGCCAATGTTCTTGCTACGTCCGGAATCGCCAGATAACAGAGCATATTTGGCGCGCTGTTTTCTTCAAATCACAAATTGCGTGTTGGCGATTGTAGATGGTATCTCGGTCGATGTCATACAGGGCCGCTGTCATTTGCCGGTGGTATTGTTTGCTGTGCCGTCCGGCCGGCCGGCTCTGACCTCCGCCTTTGTCCGGCAGTGGCTGAAGCTGCTCGACCCGCACGCGGTGCCGGCGCTGCGGAACGCCTCAGACGCCAGCCAGCTGGACAGCCACGAGTACCGCGTGATGAACGTCAGCGACACCATCACCAGCAGCCCCGACCAGTACCTCATCAAGCTGACGCTGCGCCACGTGCGCCTCAGCGACGCCGGCCAGTACGTGTGTCTGGGCGCCAACAACGGCGGCTTCACACTGCGGCCGGCCTACCTCACCGTCCGAGGCGCTCGTGAGTAGACGGTATCCCGCACCAAACCCGGCCAAAACCTCCACCTAAACCCCTCACTATACCTGATCAGGCACCAGTCGGCCCACCGCCGTCCGAGACGCCCGTAAGTAGCCGCCCCCGCCTTAACCCCGTCCAAGTACCTCAATTCTGCAGGCTACTGGTGGCTAGTGCAATTCTCAGCCCCTGTCACACATCGTGTCGATGACTGAGGCGCCTGCGCCTTACATTGAACAATGAACAGTGTCAGCTAGGACAGGACGTTTGCTGAAGTGTTGCGTTCAGATGGCTTCTGTCCGGACTGGTTTCCATCAGTGTCGCGAGTGTTTCAGTCGCGGGTGATTTGTGTGTTGATATCTGCGAGTGCCGGGTCTGCGTGCGACGGTGGTCTGATTATCCTCTGGCGTGCTCTCTGTGTTGCAGAGACGTACCAGTTTCCGTCTCAGTCGAACAGCCACGTGTACCTGATGATCATCGTTCCCGTGGCGATCGTCGTGGTACTGGCACTGGCTGCCATCTGCTGCCTCTGCCAGCGGAGAAAACTCTCACAGGTCAGTGGGAGGGCGGTCAGCGGGGCAGAGGTCACTGAGGGCAGGGGCTCTACTCGGGAAAGGTTTGTATCTCGGGGATTGACCAGGATTGTCGGCTGGTGTGTGGGCTGGTAACTCGCCTGGCGTTTAGGCATGTGTTGAGCGCATGGCTGTGCCGACTGAGCGGGGCCGTGGGACGGTCAGCGGGCTCCCGCCGACCGCTGACGCGCTGCGCTGAGCTGAGCTGATCTGGCTGTCTCGGTAACCGCCGCCGGTGCTGACCGTAACGCGCCGCTGACCGCTGACCAGTAACGCGCCCTGCTCTCCTGCAGCTGCCTGATGAGGTCAAGTCGGACGCCGAGGCGGCGCTCATGGGAAACAGGATCATGTCACAGCTGCCGGGAGCCAAGCAGCGGCCTGAGCTGGGCACAGGTAACTGCCCCCCTCCCCCTCCCGGGTCCCCGTGCTTCGAGGTGCTGACAGCGACTGCGCGTGTGGGCGCCCCTCCCCCTCCAGACAATGACTGGTTTGTGGCCGTGGGGCCGGTCCGTCGCCCCCAGTCCAGTCGCCCTCGATTGAGACACGGCCCCAGCTAGCCCGCCTGCGACAAATGACGATAGCCGACACTCTGCATCGACGCAAGTGGAACTAACATAATGAAGATGCCACTGATTTGGTCGCACGTGCAGTGCGAGCCGATGCTTTTTGTGATAACAGCACGCTCGCATTGTTTAATATGGAAATGGAGTTGTATGAGGAGGAAACTTATGCACGAAAGCTAGGATAAAAATGAGATTGAGACACTGAATGTTCACAACTTAGAGAACAAAAACTTGTTAGTGGTTTTCCTTGTAGTAAAAATGTTCCACTGATGATTGTTACAGTGAAAACAAAAACTTGTCGAAAACGACCTCTAAAAGTGTCACTGATAGTCCGCATAGACTCCAGATTCACGTTATAGTGCAATTAGCCGGGACTGGTGATAACGCTTATAGCGAACTGAGTTATGCATTACAGCCGCACCATTGTTATACGTTTCTTGCTGATCTAATATTCCATTCTCACTAATATTTTACGTCACTTCACGTGACACGTGGTACAATGACAAAAAGTCCAGGTGTCGAGTTTCTAGAAGTCCCCCGTCGCATGTTCATTTGCGTGGAAATGTTAGTTTGTATGCTACATGCCAGGAAAATCAGAAACGTTTTGTCCTCCTGTGGACAGGGTGTCATGCCAATTAAGTTGTTTTCAGTCTTCCAAAATATTATACCGGTATAAGCTATTTATAAAAGGGGCTTCGTCGATCTAATAGTTCAAACAGCGTCTCGCACTTCTGATTGTTCTGATTGATCTGATAGACAAATTTAGCAATGGATCACAGTCGTCTTCTCTTGAGGAATCGAACAACCCACGCATGGTAATATCGTTACCGTCTTACAGGCATTATCTAGGAAGCATGACTAATGAGGTCGGGACAGTCGCACCTTGACACTCAGTGTGCCATCCATGGGAAACTTCGACCTCATTGCCATTTAGGCCTGATATTTTTAGACGTTATATTCATCAACCAACTCCTGCTAATTACAAGGAAAGGTGACTAAGATTCGACTGACATTAAATGACTAATCAAGGAGTTCTGCCTGCTGTATGTTTCATCCTTAGCTACTCCCTTTTGCTCGTTACTTTCCTTCCTTACTTGGGTTCCATGAAAATGTGTTTGTGGTGAGCTCATCATGAACAGTTTTCATTTGGCGGGCGCGGACGTTGCCGAGAATGAAGGACGCTTGTAGTGTTTCTTTTCAGTTAGGATAAAGTATTTTTTTATTTAGTGGAGAGGGTACTCAAGTTGAGCCCAAGGCTAGGTAATCGACCATTCAAAACATCAGCAGTGCAAGTCCGAACCGTCTAATGCCTTGCTTTTCAAGATTGGCGAATGCTTCGAACCGATGATAGCGGAGCGCCATCGATGGCACCGTGTTGACATCATCGATTGTTGCGAACTTCGACCAGCTACCGTTTTGTACATGTCTTTCAATGTTGTCCCAAGCAATCACCTGAGTTTGTGTTGGGCTGAGTGATAATCGTATCTCTCCGTGCCGTCCGCCCGCCGCTGACAGCTCGCTCCGCCGGCAGGCTCGTCAGAGACATCTCGCGGCGTGCCAATAGGCTGCGGTGTGGCCGCCCACCACGGGCGGCGCTACGACCCGCTGCCGCCGCACCCGACGCCGACGCCGTCCGACCACACGTACGTGATGGCGCCGGTGGGCTCCTACAGCCTGAGCAGCCGGCGCAGCGAGCCGAGCTCGGCGTCCGGCCACAGCTCGTGCAGCTGCGCGCCGGCCGCGCCGCCGGCCACCGAGCCGCCGCGCCAGCTGCAGGCCCACTTCAGCCGCCACCGGCACAAGCACCTGCACTACGCGTGCTGACGGCCGGCCCCGGCCCCTGGTGTGTGCGCGCAGACAGACTGCAGTGAGCGGACAGAACGGCGGCCACGGACGGCCGCGCCAGCGCCCAACTAGTCATTACAATACTTATCGGCCGCGCCCGCCGCGGGAGGCGCGGTGCGCGGGGTGTGGACGCCATTGCGTGTGTTTGCGTGTTCAGTGTTGTGTATGGAAGTTTTGCGTGCATACACGCGTGTATGTACGAGTATGTTCATGTTAACGCGCGGTCGTATTTATGAATGCTGCGGGCTATGGGCCCGCTGAGCCTGTGTCTAACAAGCTGCGTGTCACGTCGCATCGCCCCGTAGAAATACCCCGCTTACCAACCCAGTCGTTTTGTATTGGGAATACATCTTGTGTTATTTGTCTTTTTAATACGTGTTTGCGAATTGAGAGTACAAAACTTGTGCGTACCTACCAGCTGAAAAGTCGAAGAGCGGACCCGAACATTAGCTCGATTCATAATTGTTGTCCGTGTGCTGGGTTTGACTGGACAGCCTACGATGAGCGGAGCGAACGAGTGCGAATGTGAAGAGGTGCGTCCGTGCTGCCGGGTAACTAATAATCCGCTCAGAAACGTAGCAGTAAACTCATATTTATCCCGGACTTGATTCGGATCCCGTAAAGGTAGCCCAGGATCGAGCTCGCTCTTCTGTCGGCATGAATGGCCAGTGACATACGGTTGTTACAAACGTCTGGCTATTGAGATAACAAAATGAACGCTGTCCGATGAACATGAGCAAAAATTGATGTAATTTTGCTTCATTTGTCCTCTTACAGTCTCGAGACGGCGTTATCGCGAACCCCGCTTCCACCAGCCCGCCTCACTGATCGGAGGCAAAGCGTGCAGCAGCACTCGTCCCAGTGTCCCACCGTCCCTCCCCTCGTGTCCGATGTTCAGGTGTATCGCTTCCGGTGATCCGTTCATTGATCAGTGACTGTCTCCAAGGTGTAAGTGTAAGACCGCCCTTCAATCCCCTGACATCAAACGTATTTTACATGCGTTGTTTATTGAGGCGAGCGATAGCGCTAATCAACAGGTCGAAGTAGAACTACTAATGGGGCGCGCACTACTTGGAACCGAATGTTCTGTGAGTAGATGGTCCGACATCAACTCAGATATGAATGTAGCGCACAAACGGTGCTTTTCACCAGCCAAGAACGGTACAGGTGGGGCTGTAAAGAATCACTACCGAATGTGACGTTCGATGCTGTCCTAACTACCTATTATAACGCAACTTTGCGCGAGCTTCGAGGCGATTGAAGTGCGCGGACAAATATTCACAAAGGTCCACTGTAGAATCACACAAAGTCAGCACCTCGTGACCGAAACTGACCCTCCCGACGTCTGTCTCCTCGCTGTACGCCCTGGTGGAGGCCGCTGCCGGCCCCTGCGCGTGACGGCCCTCATCGCGACGGGCCGGCGCCTCCTCTCGACCCTGAAGTACCTTCAACCAGCCCTCCCCATCATCCCTGATGCAATGGAGGCGCACTGTATGCGCCCTATCGGCCAAAAACGTTAATCCGGACAGCATGCGATTCAGTTCCCAGTACCAGGCAAGTCCAGCACAGGCATTTTCACGGGCAGGGTTCATGAAAACTGTTCAACCCCCTAACTACTTTGGCTTGATCCTTCCTCTCGATTAAGTCTTTTACCCATGCATTCCGCCAGCACTCCGCATTAGTCTGAATTTCGAGCGTTTAAAACCCCAACTTACGGATCAGCAGGCCACTCACCCAATGATGATGAATCTGAGGTTTTTGTTCTGAGCACCACAAGCTGCACTGTGTCACTTCACTAGTGAATTGTGCCGGTTCACCCCACCTCACCGCCTTGGCCACTGTTGGAAGGCACCTCACCACTCACTGCTGCTCGACCTCACTCCACTGTCACCTCACTGAAGGAGCTCACCACACTCACTGTTACCTTACCGGAGCAGGAACCACCTCACAGGAGCGGAAATCACCACATCGTCACCTCACCGGAGCCGGAAACCACCTCACCTAGTCACTCTCACGTGATCACCTCACTCACCAGGTAGGAAGCCGCCCACCTCACCGGAAAATGCACTGCACCACCGCGCAGACCACCACACTAGGGCGAGGTATGCCCCAGTGAAGACGAAAAGACCTACACCTGTGTCACTGATTGGTGCGCACTACTGATATCTCACGAACGGTTCACCAGGGTGTTCAGCGTTATTCAGTTTCATCGCCAAAGTGTCTCCGCTTTCAAAGTTCGCTTCCCAATTTCGGTTCGAAAATGTTCACCGATTTTGCCTCGCTCACTTTTCCTAATGTTCGGGTTAAAAATCTGTGCACTGCCGAAACCGTTTGAAGATAGACAACGCACCGCACTGAAAGATCACCAATATGGGGCGCGGCACCCTTCCAGACTGGAGTAATGATCACGAGCCAGGTCACGTCACGGCGCTGAGCCTTGCTGAGTCAGCTCACCTCACCATCCCTACCGGCACCGCACTGCGCAGTAGGTTCACGCGGCGCCACCCCGGTCATTCACTACCTTGTGCGAAATGGGATCACCGAGCACAGCTGACCCACACCGGATTTAGCGGCTCTGGCGTCCGGCACCGATTCACCGTGGTGCGCTCGATGGATATGGAAAACGGAACTGGAAGCCACTGATGACCACTGAGCCGGCCGCCATACCGGATGCACCAGCAGCGGACTGCCTGGTGATCACTGAACGGTCCGGCCGCCGACCCCAGGCCGAGGACGGGCCGCGCTCGAGCGCTTAGTGTGGGGAGATGATGCTGTCTGAGGCCCACTGTCACCTGGTCACTGGCACTGCACAGAAAAAGGAGTTTCGCCGCACATTTTGACCGTGTAGTCTATTTCCTGCTATGAATGAGTCACGACCACTTGCGCGTTTTCAACACACATCCTGAATTTTGAGAGCACTACTTTGAATTGTCGCCGAGCTTGGAGAGGAAAGTCACCACCGCATGGCCACCACCTTAGTTGTGCACTACATTGACCACTGCAGCGCAAGTCACGACACCAAGCACTTAGCCTCTTTCATAACTGATGCAGCCGTGTCTTGGTGTTACCGTTCGCGCACAACACACACAAGCACACAACCTCACTACACCGTCACTGACACTGCACGACACAGTCACTTAATGCCGATGTTTACCTGAAAATAACCAGACAGATTAAACGAACATGGTATAAACAGAAGCAATGCTACTCGTTTTAAGAAAATTAAAATAAAAACTATTTAGTGTGATCTTAACGTCAGTAGACATGCAAGCAAACATTCTGGATTAGCTTGGGAAAGTGACGTTAATCAGTGCCAATGCAAGCAGGCAGGCTGTCCAGCAGTTTAGAAGATGGTGACTGGTCCTGGTGATGGAACACCATGCAGCTGTAGCTTTCTCCTCTCCAAGGTGCAGCCAGTCACTGAAACAAAACAAAACCTTTGTTACAATGGAAATTTGCAAGTGATGCACAGCCTTGTTTTTAGCTTAGGATTTTCCAGCATTATGAAGTAAAATATTTATTGTGATCAGATTAAAAACCAGCCTCAAAGAATCCATGTGAACTAAATTCACAATTAGGTAGTGAATAGCTACTCAACTTATTAATGGAGTTTAACAAAATTAGTACATACTTGAATAATTATGCTTAAATACAAAAGTTTAATACACATAATTTCCATACCTTTTGAAACAGCAGTTCAGCTCAAAGCCAGCTGAGCAGAGCTTCCTCGAACTACCACCACGAGCAGATGGTCTTCCTTGGCCGCCTCCTCAGACAGGGCAGTGGCGGTCCTTGTGAGCAGCTCCTTGGAGAAGTTGCAGGGTGGGAAGGCGTACAGCACCCCCGTGGTGTCGCCTTCTTTGTTGAGGAGGGAGATCACTCCAGCTGCCTCCTTCTGTTTGAGGTAGGACACCAGGTTTCTCAGGGAGCGGGCCTGCACTGAGGAGTCGTCTATGTTCACTGGCGAGGAGGATGTCGGTAGGGCCACATAGATGGCATGAGGAGAAGATGAAATCCTCTTCTGAACATCATCCAGTTTGGGCTGGTCCAGCCTCAGTCTCTGTGTGATCCTCAGGAGAGGCTTCTCATTTTCATCCTTCAGCAGGCTCTCAGCAATGTCAGCATCACCATCGGTCAGGTGGAACTTGCACGCAAACAGAGAGCTCTTCAGAATCATGGCACCATGCCAGGACGTTCCCACCTTTCTGGCAATGTCTGACAGGGTCTTGGCTGTGTTCAGGTGGCCGCCCTCCTCTGACCCAGACTCGCTCCTGCGAGATGGACTGATGGATCTGTTCTCAGTGGGAACCTGTCTCAGAGTGGAGTGGTAGTTATCCTCAGAGAAGTCTCCTCGGTCACCAAAGCCTCCTCGGAAGTTGCCCCTTCCACCTCTGAAGCCACCACGGCCCCTCCCTCTGAAGTCATCGTGCCCACCATCGAATGGAGGCCTCCTGCCAAACTGCACTGTGGTCTCATCAGCAGCAAAGTCTGTCTTGATCCTCTTGTCTGGACCACCCAGAGGGAACCCTCTCATCTCATTCACTGCAGCTGTAGCAGCATCCAGGGTCTCATACAGGACATGGGCATAGGGCTCTCCCTTCACATACTCAATCTTCTTGATGGCACCAAACCTGTCAAACTCTCTCTCCAGGATCTGCACTGTGGTCCAGGAGCCAAGACCACCAACCCACACCTTGCAAGATGGAAGCACTTTTCCATAGCCAATTTTCACCTGGAACTTTCCAATGTACTGGCCAGACAGCTCAGTTTTGCAGCGATTTGACTGATCCAGGTTTTCAAACCTCACAAATGCAAATGCATTTCCTGTGCCTGGCGGGGGTCTCTTGATGTCAATGTCCTCCACATTGCCATACCTGTTGAAGATCCTCCGGAGCTCCTCCTCTGTGATGTTCAGCTCCATGTTGCCCGCAAACAGGGTGCGACAAGCAGTGGGATCGTCTTCAGGTGGAATGTGATGCAGATAGTTAGGGAACCTCTCCTTCCTCTCATGCCTCTCAAACCTTGGCCGGGCAAATCCAGGAGGGCCATAAGGAGGTCCATAGCCTCCACCGAAGGGCGGTCCCCTTGGGGGCTCACGGTACGGGTACCCACGACCAGGGCCATACCCATAAGGATCATGGGGCTGGAGCTCATATCCATATGGATCCATAGGTCCTGGCATGGGTGGACCATATCTGTCATAGTCCCTCGGAGGAGACCTTGGCCTCATGTACCTGCCGTCCATTGGTGGGTAGTCCATCATCGGGCTTCTACTCCTCCTGCGTGGAAGATACTCTTGCGGAGCAGTGTCATAGACAGCCTCCACCATGGCTGGCTTGTCATAAAACATGATCCTTCCTCTGCTGATGTGCTTAGCATCCCTAGCATCCTCCCAAGTGCGAAAGTACACATAAGCAACTCGCTCTCCATCATGTTCAATGACTACTTTCACAGACACATCCGGAAACTTTCTATACTCTCTGTACAGCTCGTCACGGACCACATCTTCTGAGGCTTTGGGGTGTATACTACTGACACAGAGCACTTTGTAGGTGTAAGCACGATCGCGGTCACTGGATCTCGAATAACCGCCTCCATCTCTATGCGAGTGAGACCGGCTGTGGCTCGGCTCCTGAGAGTACCTGGGAGGTGTCCTTCTTGGGGATCTACTTCGGCCTCGTCTGGAGCTCCCTTCGTCGGAGCTGTTGTCGTACCTTCCCATTTCAGGGTATTTTCCTTTCCAACAAAAATTCAACCACAATTACTATAACGGCCCTCAATATGGCGACCGTCACTTCCGAAATGTAATTTGGTTACCTCCCACTCTTAGTATTCAAAGCTGCCACCAGGGGCTGCATTCAAGCTGTCATTTTTCACTTATTTCTCAAACCGCGACTCAAGTGCGCGAATTTTTTTTCCTTAATGATATATTTTTTAGCATTCTGAGTTTATATAATTGCCGTAATGGTGTGTTTCTTATGCTGTCAAATTTATGCTTATCAAACTCTCCACTAGGTGTCAGGCATGTTTAAGACTTTTCACAAAAATAGGTAGCAAGTACCTCACCGGTATCGATTCCCACTGAAATCCATCATGGCGTCTGAAAATCCCAAAATGGCGAATTACGGGATTGAAGTTTATATGCTTGATATCAAAGTTATCAATCGAATGCAATGAACAGAGTCATATTTCTTACACTTTATGCTGTTTGTTTGTCATTGCCGATGGACTGTGAATGCGTTCCCACTCCCTAAGCAAAAGGTATTTTTTTTACAAAAAGTTGAATGCAAAAAAAAAATATTTTAAAACATGTAGTCACATGACAAATTAAATTAACATCAGCTAAAAAATTAATGAATTTAAACTTATTAATCTTGATGAAGACAGTTATGACGCAAGAACGACAAACGTGCAAAATGCATCATGTGGTACTTGCATTGCTTGCACGTGTTTTCAAAGTTTATTTTTCGAAGTAGGTGCTTAGTTTCCTGTAATTATTCATTTTGTCAGCAATTAACCCGTTGAAACGGGCTTATTATTATCTAGGCTCACTTTGATAAGTACAGGGTGGGGCAGAAAGATTTACCTCTTGATTTTCTTAAATATTTCGGCCCCGAACAAAGATATCAAATTGATTTCTGGCACATATATGCAGTAACATGTACACATCTCAGCGACGGCATAATGACTCAATATGGTCACCTTTGTCCTTCACCACTGCTTCGAAACGTCCCTCTGCGGAGGGGCACGAGCGCCCCACTGTATCCCCGCCAAGATTCGATGGTGCCGTCTCGAGGGCCAGCTTCAGGGCGGCGATTCTGCTGTGTCAGTAGGCGGAACTATGGTCAAGCGTACCCATTTTCGGGAACGCATTTTCGTTCCCATGTTTGGGAACGATAAACCCAAATATGGGAACGCCATGTAGGCATTATTTAAAACAAGAAAAAGAACCGTTAAATGACGTCCAAAAAATATAAAACGATCGTGAACCGCCTGATATTTGTCTCAATATTGTTGGGAAAGAGTTTGATATTGTAAGGCCCATCGTAGTTTCAAATCGTTCCCCTATTTCTAAAGCAGTCCATCATCCGGGCCGCGAGCCCAAATTTGGGAACGCTCTCGTACACTGGCGCTGCAAGCGTTCCTTATTATGGGAACGGCGTACCCAAAATTGGGAACGATTTCACCGACGCCTTTCAGGGGCTCTTTTCATTAACAAGCATCACGTCCAACGCCGCAAATTATTGTTAACGCAACAATCATCAGATGACCTTTCCGGCAAGACCGTCGCATGTTTCGCCCGGTCTTCTGCGCTTTTATTCCCGTCGATCTCGCAGCGGGCACGCCCCCCTCTGCAGGATTACGTAATTCACAACGCTCAGCGATGTTCAACAAGGTCTTCCATACCTATATCCACCGTCCGCGCTGAGGGTGGAGACATGTCAAGCACCTGTCTGTTTATCACCGATAGTTGACGAGTACAAGGAAGTATCCAAAAATGGGAACGCTGAATATGTTACACCCTCAAAACACCTAGTCCCAATGAAAATCTAGTTTTTTCCTTTCTTGATGAGTGTAAGTGGCAAAAGGCCTGGTAGGATGGGCACGAGGAATTATCGAAATCAGCATAAAAATTATAAATAAGCCACACAGAGCGAGCTATATAAGAGAAATTCCCCCAAAACGATCACGCTTAGAAACACGGAAGACAAAAACCACGCTCATGACGCTCCTTATAAAACAACTCTAAACAGCTAGCATTCAAATAAAATATGTCTTTCCGGGATGATAAAATACAGCTGGATAATTTTCAACCGCTTAAACTGAGTTTACAACAGTAGCTCGGTAAATTCACTCACGTTCCACGCGGTCGTCCGCCCCGACACAAAAGTCAACAATATTACCTCGGGACCGTCCGCGTCTTCGCTTGCATTTGTCAGCATCTGGTGTCGATAGTATGAAAGTTCATAACCAGGCGAAAATTATTATACTTTACCTCAAACTAAAAAATGCTTCATTTTCCTTAAAATTGCATGCTAAATGTCGTATAACCCATATTTCCACCATTCTGTCATTTTCAAAAAATCATTAAAAATATCATTCCACGGTCAATTTCCTTGTTCCACGGTCAGATTAAAGATAACTTTATGGAGATTTAGTAGATACTTAAATCAGCGTGCACTTTTTTGAGACGTGATGCACTTTTGAGTTTTAGTGGGAGAACGGCCGAAAAATTGCCTTCCGTTCTCATAAATGGGAACGCCCGTTCCCATATTTGGGAACTCCGTTCCGGACGTTAATCCGGACAGCATGCGATTCAGTTCCCAGTACCAGGCAAGTCCAGCACAGGCATTTTCACGGGCAGGGTTCATGAAAACTGTTCAACCCCCTAACTACTTTGGCTTGATCCTTCCTCTCGATTAAGTCTTTTACCCATGCATTCCGCCAGCACTCCGCATTAGTCTGAATTTCGAGCGTTTAAAACCCCAACTTACGGATCAGCAGGCCACTCACCCAATGATGATGAATCTGAGGTTTTTGTTCTGAGCACCACAAGCTGCACTGTGTCACTTCACTAGTGAATTGTGCCGGTTCACCCCACCTCACCGCCTTGGCCACTGTTGGAAGGCACCTCACCACTCACTGCTGCTCGACCTCACTCCACTGTCACCTCACTGAAGGAGCTCACCACACTCACTGTTACCTTACCGGAGCAGGAACCACCTCACAGGAGCGGAAATCACCACATCGTCACCTCACCGGAGCCGGAAACCACCTCACCTAGTCACTCTCACGTGATCACCTCACTCACCAGGTAGGAAGCCGCCCACCTCACCGGAAAATGCACTGCACCACCGCGCAGACCACCACACTAGGGCGAGGTATGCCCCAGTGAAGACGAAAAGACCTACACCTGTGTCACTGATTGGTGCGCACTACTGATATCTCACGAACGGTTCACCAGGGTGTTCAGCGTTATTCAGTTTCATCGCCAAAGTGTCTCCGCTTTCAAAGTTCGCTTCCCAATTTCGGTTCGAAAATGTTCACCGATTTTGCCTCGCTCACTTTTCCTAATGTTCGGGTTAAAAATCTGTGCACTGCCGAAACCGTTTGAAGATAGACAACGCACCGCACTGAAAGATCACCAATATGGGGCGCGGCACCCTTCCAGACTGGAGTAATGATCACGAGCCAGGTCACGTCACGGCGCTGAGCCTTGCTGAGTCAGCTCACCTCACCATCCCTACCGGCACCGCACTGCGCAGTAGGTTCACGCGGCGCCACCCCGGTCATTCACTACCTTGTGCGAAATGGGATCACCGAGCACAGCTGACCCACACCGGATTTAGCGGCTCTGGCGTCCGGCACCGATTCACCGTGGTGCGCTCGATGGATATGGAAAACGGAACTGGAAGCCACTGATGACCACTGAGCCGGCCGCCATACCGGATGCACCAGCAGCGGACTGCCTGGTGATCACTGAACGGTCCGGCCGCCGACCCCAGGCCGAGGACGGGCCGCGCTCGAGCGCTTAGTGTGGGGAGATGATGCTGTCTGAGGCCCACTGTCACCTGGTCACTGGCACTGCACAGAAAAAGGAGTTTCGCCGCACATTTTGACCGTGTAGTCTATTTCCTGCTATGAATGAGTCACGACCACTTGCGCGTTTTCAACACACATCCTGAATTTTGAGAGCACTACTTTGAATTGTCGCCGAGCTTGGAGAGGAAAGTCACCACCGCATGGCCACCACCTTAGTTGTGCACTACATTGACCACTGCAGCGCAAGTCACGACACCAAGCACTTAGCCTCTTTCATAACTGATGCAGCCGTGTCTTGGTGTTACCGTTCGCGCACAACACACACAAGCACACAACCTCACTACACCGTCACTGACACTGCACGACACAGTCACTTAATGCCGATGTTTACCTGAAAATAACCAGACAGATTAAACGAACATGGTATAAACAGAAGCAATGCTACTCGTTTTAAGAAAATTAAAATAAAAACTATTTAGTGTGATCTTAACGTCAGTAGACATGCAAGCAAACATTCTGGATTAGCTTGGGAAAGTGACGTTAATCAGTGCCAATGCAAGCAGGCAGGCTGTCCAGCAGTTTAGAAGATGGTGACTGGTCCTGGTGATGGAACACCATGCAGCTGTAGCTTTCTCCTCTCCAAGGTGCAGCCAGTCACTGAAACAAAACAAAACCTTTGTTACAATGGAAATTTGCAAGTGATGCACAGCCTTGTTTTTAGCTTAGGATTTTCCAGCATTATGAAGTAAAATATTTATTGTGATCAGATTAAAAACCAGCCTCAAAGAATCCATGTGAACTAAATTCACAATTAGGTAGTGAATAGCTACTCAACTTATTAATGGAGTTTAACAAAATTAGTACATACTTGAATAATTATGCTTAAATACAAAAGTTTAATACACATAATTTCCATACCTTTTGAAACAGCAGTTCAGCTCAAAGCCAGCTGAGCAGAGCTTCCTCGAACTACCACCACGAGCAGATGGTCTTCCTTGGCCGCCTCCTCAGACAGGGCAGTGGCGGTCCTTGTGAGCAGCTCCTTGGAGAAGTTGCAGGGTGGGAAGGCGTACAGCACCCCCGTGGTGTCGCCTTCTTTGTTGAGGAGGGAGATCACTCCAGCTGCCTCCTTCTGTTTGAGGTAGGACACCAGGTTTCTCAGGGAGCGGGCCTGCACTGAGGAGTCGTCTATGTTCACTGGCGAGGAGGATGTCGGTAGGGCCACATAGATGGCATGAGGAGAAGATGAAATCCTCTTCTGAACATCATCCAGTTTGGGCTGGTCCAGCCTCAGTCTCTGTGTGATCCTCAGGAGAGGCTTCTCATTTTCATCCTTCAGCAGGCTCTCAGCAATGTCAGCATCACCATCGGTCAGGTGGAACTTGCACGCAAACAGAGAGCTCTTCAGAATCATGGCACCATGCCAGGACGTTCCCACCTTTCTGGCAATGTCTGACAGGGTCTTGGCTGTGTTCAGGTGGCCGCCCTCCTCTGACCCAGACTCGCTCCTGCGAGATGGACTGATGGATCTGTTCTCAGTGGGAACCTGTCTCAGAGTGGAGTGGTAGTTATCCTCAGAGAAGTCTCCTCGGTCACCAAAGCCTCCTCGGAAGTTGCCCCTTCCACCTCTGAAGCCACCACGGCCCCTCCCTCTGAAGTCATCGTGCCCACCATCGAATGGAGGCCTCCTGCCAAACTGCACTGTGGTCTCATCAGCAGCAAAGTCTGTCTTGATCCTCTTGTCTGGACCACCCAGAGGGAACCCTCTCATCTCATTCACTGCAGCTGTAGCAGCATCCAGGGTCTCATACAGGACATGGGCATAGGGCTCTCCCTTCACATACTCAATCTTCTTGATGGCACCAAACCTGTCAAACTCTCTCTCCAGGATCTGCACTGTGGTCCAGGAGCCAAGACCACCAACCCACACCTTGCAAGATGGAAGCACTTTTCCATAGCCAATTTTCACCTGGAACTTTCCAATGTACTGGCCAGACAGCTCAGTTTTGCAGCGATTTGACTGATCCAGGTTTTCAAACCTCACAAATGCAAATGCATTTCCTGTGCCTGGCGGGGGTCTCTTGATGTCAATGTCCTCCACATTGCCATACCTGTTGAAGATCCTCCGGAGCTCCTCCTCTGTGATGTTCAGCTCCATGTTGCCCGCAAACAGGGTGCGACAAGCAGTGGGATCGTCTTCAGGTGGAATGTGATGCAGATAGTTAGGGAACCTCTCCTTCCTCTCATGCCTCTCAAACCTTGGCCGGGCAAATCCAGGAGGGCCATAAGGAGGTCCATAGCCTCCACCGAAGGGCGGTCCCCTTGGGGGCTCACGGTACGGGTACCCACGACCAGGGCCATACCCATAAGGATCATGGGGCTGGAGCTCATATCCATATGGATCCATAGGTCCTGGCATGGGTGGACCATATCTGTCATAGTCCCTCGGAGGAGACCTTGGCCTCATGTACCTGCCGTCCATTGGTGGGTAGTCCATCATCGGGCTTCTACTCCTCCTGCGTGGAAGATACTCTTGCGGAGCAGTGTCATAGACAGCCTCCACCATGGCTGGCTTGTCATAAAACATGATCCTTCCTCTGCTGATGTGCTTAGCATCCCTAGCATCCTCCCAAGTGCGAAAGTACACATAAGCAACTCGCTCTCCATCATGTTCAATGACTACTTTCACAGACACATCCGGAAACTTTCTATACTCTCTGTACAGCTCGTCACGGACCACATCTTCTGAGGCTTTGGGGTGTATACTACTGACACAGAGCACTTTGTAGGTGTAAGCACGATCGCGGTCACTGGATCTCGAATAACCGCCTCCATCTCTATGCGAGTGAGACCGGCTGTGGCTCGGCTCCTGAGAGTACCTGGGAGGTGTCCTTCTTGGGGATCTACTTCGGCCTCGTCTGGAGCTCCCTTCGTCGGAGCTGTTGTCGTACCTTCCCATTTCAGGGTATTTTCCTTTCCAACAAAAATTCAACCACAATTACTATAACGGCCCTCAATATGGCGACCGTCACTTCCGAAATGTAATTTGGTTACCTCCCACTCTTAGTATTCAAAGCTGCCACCAGGGGCTGCATTCAAGCTGTCATTTTTCACTTATTTCTCAAACCGCGACTCAAGTGCGCGAATTTTTTTTCCTTAATGATATATTTTTTAGCATTCTGAGTTTATATAATTGCCGTAATGGTGTGTTTCTTATGCTGTCAAATTTATGCTTATCAAACTCTCCACTAGGTGTCAGGCATGTTTAAGACTTTTCACAAAAATAGGTAGCAAGTACCTCACCGGTATCGATTCCCACTGAAATCCATCATGGCGTCTGAAAATCCCAAAATGGCGAATTACGGGATTGAAGTTTATATGCTTGATATCAAAGTTATCAATCGAATGCAATGAACAGAGTCATATTTCTTACACTTTATGCTGTTTGTTTGTCATTGCCGATGGACTGTGAATGCGTTCCCACTCCCTAAGCAAAAGGTATTTTTTTTACAAAAAGTTGAATGCAAAAAAAAAATATTTTAAAACATGTAGTCACATGACAAATTAAATTAACATCAGCTAAAAAATTAATGAATTTAAACTTATTAATCTTGATGAAGACAGTTATGACGCAAGAACGACAAACGTGCAAAATGCATCATGTGGTACTTGCATTGCTTGCACGTGTTTTCAAAGTTTATTTTTCGAAGTAGGTGCTTAGTTTCCTGTAATTATTCATTTTGTCAGCAATTAACCCGTTGAAACGGGCTTATTATTATCTAGGCTCACTTTGATAAGTACAGGGTGGGGCAGAAAGATTTACCTCTTGATTTTCTTAAATATTTCGGCCCCGAACAAAGATATCAAATTGATTTCTGGCACATATATGCAGTAACATGTACACATCTCAGCGACGGCATAATGACTCAATATGGTCACCTTTGTCCTTCACCACTGCTTCGAAACGTCCCTCTGCGGAGGGGCACGAGCGCCCCACTGTATCCCCGCCAAGATTCGATGGTGCCGTCTCGAGGGCCAGCTTCAGGGCGGCGATTCTGCTGTGTCAGTAGGCGGAACTATGGTCAAGCGTACCCATTTTCGGGAACGCATTTTCGTTCCCATGTTTGGGAACGATAAACCCAAATATGGGAACGCCATGTAGGCATTATTTAAAACAAGAAAAAGAACCGTTAAATGACGTCCAAAAAATATAAAACGATCGTGAACCGCCTGATATTTGTCTCAATATTGTTGGGAAAGAGTTTGATATTGTAAGGCCCATCGTAGTTTCAAATCGTTCCCCTATTTCTAAAGCAGTCCATCATCCGGGCCGCGAGCCCAAATTTGGGAACGCTCTCGTACACTGGCGCTGCAAGCGTTCCTTATTATGGGAACGGCGTACCCAAAATTGGGAACGATTTCACCGACGCCTTTCAGGGGCTCTTTTCATTAACAAGCATCACGTCCAACGCCGCAAATTATTGTTAACGCAACAATCATCAGATGACCTTTCCGGCAAGACCGTCGCATGTTTCGCCCGGTCTTCTGCGCTTTTATTCCCGTCGATCTCGCAGCGGGCACGCCCCCCTCTGCAGGATTACGTAATTCACAACGCTCAGCGATGTTCAACAAGGTCTTCCATACCTATATCCACCGTCCGCGCTGAGGGTGGAGACATGTCAAGCACCTGTCTGTTTATCACCGATAGTTGACGAGTACAAGGAAGTATCCAAAAATGGGAACGCTGAATATGTTACACCCTCAAAACACCTAGTCCCAATGAAAATCTAGTTTTTTCCTTTCTTGATGAGTGTAAGTGGCAAAAGGCCTGGTAGGATGGGCACGAGGAATTATCGAAATCAGCATAAAAATTATAAATAAGCCACACAGAGCGAGCTATATAAGAGAAATTCCCCCAAAACGATCACGCTTAGAAACACGGAAGACAAAAACCACGCTCATGACGCTCCTTATAAAACAACTCTAAACAGCTAGCATTCAAATAAAATATGTCTTTCCGGGATGATAAAATACAGCTGGATAATTTTCAACCGCTTAAACTGAGTTTACAACAGTAGCTCGGTAAATTCACTCACGTTCCACGCGGTCGTCCGCCCCGACACAAAAGTCAACAATATTACCTCGGGACCGTCCGCGTCTTCGCTTGCATTTGTCAGCATCTGGTGTCGATAGTATGAAAGTTCATAACCAGGCGAAAATTATTATACTTTACCTCAAACTAAAAAATGCTTCATTTTCCTTAAAATTGCATGCTAAATGTCGTATAACCCATATTTCCACCATTCTGTCATTTTCAAAAAATCATTAAAAATATCATTCCACGGTCAATTTCCTTGTTCCACGGTCAGATTAAAGATAACTTTATGGAGATTTAGTAGATACTTAAATCAGCGTGCACTTTTTTGAGACGTGATGCACTTTTGAGTTTTAGTGGGAGAACGGCCGAAAAATTGCCTTCCGTTCTCATAAATGGGAACGCCCGTTCCCATATTTGGGAACTCCGTTCCCAAAAATGGGAACGTTCCTATATTTGGGTACTCATGACCATAGTTCCGCCTACTGGTGTGGCACTGCACACACCCTCCTCTCTAAGATGGCCTAGATTGCGAAGTCCATCGGGTTCAGGTCTGGACTTGATGATGGCCGAATGTCTTTGTCCCAGAACCCAGGCATGTGGGTCTTCCACCACAGTTGAGCGATGTTGGCCGTTTGCGGCGGCGCACCGTCCTGGACGAAGACGTATCCGTCTCAGAACGACTGAGTGACCCAAGACAAAGCATATTCCTCCAGCAGATGGACTTGAACCTCTGAATTCACTTTCACAGCCTCCTTGATGAAGACCAAGGCTCCTTTTGAGCCGTCGGATGCGACAGTAGCCCAAACCATGACACCAGCAGGCTTCAAGCAACAAAAAATGGTGCGAATAGCAGGATCAATGCTGGATGGACCATCTGCCAAAATGTTGACGCTTTGGGAGTGTCTCTGGGGCTCAGGCATGAACATGTTGTCATTGGCCCAGCAAAATGCCTTGTTACCGGCGCTCCTGATCTCCAATGTCTTTTGGATCCTGTGTAGCCGGTTTTCCCTGGATGCCGCCGAAATTAGGTGTCGACGTTGCATCCTGTATGGCATGAAGCCTAAGCCGTCGTTCATGATTCTCTTGGCGGTTCTGGGCTAAACAACGAGTTCCCTTGGCAGTTTGCGCATGCTTCGCCGAGGAATTGAAACACCTTCTTGTGCACGATATTAACCAGCTTTTTGAAGCAGATATCCCTTATTCTGCCTGGCATGGACTTCGTCGACACCAACACTGTCTTTTTAAGTCATTTAATTACACTACAAACAGTTTTTACGGCAACACCGAGCTGTTTCGCAAAGCTTCGGGAGCTGTGGCTAGTATACTTCAGCGCCGCAATTTGGGCTCACTTAGTCATCTTCGCCATAGCTCACCAACAACTATTACAAAATTTAAAAACGATCTTAAAGTTGATACATGAGTCAGTTGGGAAGCTGCGTGCAAAATTTTATCAAAATCCGTTCATAACTTTTTAAGTAATGGACTGAAAACAAACAGGTAAATCTTTCTGCCCCACCCTGTAAGCCTGACTTATTTCATAGCTGCAGGAGTCATTGGTTCAGGTATTTTGTTTTGGTTTTCACTTCACTTTCACTTTGTTTATATATTCACAACAATGAGTTGATAAATATATTGTGTTATTTGTCCTGCCCTCTTTGCAATTCTCATCTAGATTGTTGTATTTGTTTGATACTCTTTGCTATTCTGTTATGGAGCTGGACCTATTTGTTTCAAATGCTGCATGCAAGTCATGACTCAATTCCCAAGTTGATGTCTCAGTTTCTGGTTTATTTACATTTTCATCTGTTATTATCACTGATACTGATAGTGCACCTACTCTGCCAGTTGATTTATCTGTAATTTTTTCAGAACTTTGTGACTGAATACAGCAATTCAGAATGTCAGCATCAGTCCGCAGACCAGAACACAAAGCACCACCAGAAATTGTAAGTACCAGTATGCTATGATTTTGGTGTTTGTAGGGTGATGTATACTATTTTATTGCTTTCACATGTGTTTTATGTATATGTTAATTACAGGTTTTTGTAAGAATTACATTTTATTCTGCATACATAAAATGAATCTGGATTGGACCCGAAATCAGTCTGATGCAGAATGGAGCCGCAAATTTCAGAATGGGGAATCAACTGCTTTTCTTTGAAAACCATCCTGTTTGGGCTTCCACTTGTATGGCAATAACTTTGATTTGATGTTTTCATGTTTTTTGCTTATATTTCTTTAAAAATAAATTAAAACTTGTTTTTTTAGAAATGTTCATTGTGACATTGACAAGTGTTACATCAGCTATGCAATGGTTACAAGACGCCACAACGATTGGATAAAGATAAGGCGCAATCAGCGGACAACATTGAAGATCATGACAGGGTACAGCGCACCTTTCGCCCGGTGTTTATCCAGACAGCTATATTGCGTCGTCGTTTCGAGCGTGCCATGACCGAGACAGGCCGGTGCCCACTCCCAGGCATAATGTCAACGTCTCATTCATGTTTCTAGCGGAATATGAATGCACTTTGTAGATAAACTCAACTTTCCAGGCTCTTATTAGATTGTCGGATGTTTGATTTTTACGGTGCACATTAGAGATGTCAATCGGATACCAACTTTTTGGTATACCGATACCAACTTGGTATTTGGTATTTCAATCCTAATGTGTTTGGTATTTTGTTGGTATCATGAACCCTCACTCATGTATAAGAGGCTAAGAAATCAGTAAAACGTTGGTATTTCCCTCATGTTCCCGAGTTGGTTTGGTTTCGGTATTTCCCCACGATTTTGTTTGGTATTTGGTTTGGTATCGGTATTCCGTTTTTCCATAATTGACATCACTAGTGCTCATATATTATATATAGCCCCATTCCCAGCTCGTGAAGGTTCGGTCGTCATCGACAGATCTTGTGCGAGCCTAAAGCCTGCGAAGATAACTCTACCCATTCCTGGATTGGATACGTTTAGCCTCACATGCTCACATCTGGAATAAATTTTTCAGATTTGTCGGACTTGGCTGAGGTAATCGGCATTTGCTTATCAATTGCCATGCCGCTTATGCGTACTTTGTCTTAGCTACTTGCTTTCCATCGGATCAAGTGGTGGTAGATGGCCAATGGGTTACGAATTTCGGTCGTCTTTAGCGTCTTTCTCTTCGATTGAATAAGTTGGACGGGTCGTTCGAATCTCAGTCATGGATGGAGCGCTTTCGTCTCTTGCTATTTTTCATTTTATGATGGCTATTTTGGCTCACTTAGGGCCTCAGAATATAGAATCAAAGCATTGGTATTCAACGTAAAGCTAACTACATACTACATAGGCTATTACCCAGGCACAACTGCCCAGCTTAAGTTTATTCGGTAATGTTGGAGACTTTGAAAAGTTCGAAAACCTTGTACGGATAGTTGGAACGGAATTATTGCTTTTCTTTACTTGACCCACATTACACATAAATGATCCGCCCCGTTTTCGATGTTACGTCTTGATTCGCTTGGAACTCCCAAATGTATTTATATAAGTGAAATAAGTCAGATCCGTGCGGAGACCGGTCAGTGCCGGGTGGTGCGGCTGCCTCCGACACAGACGGCTGGCCGCGGCGACCACTCTGACAAATGATGGCCAACTCGTTGCGGGGAAATTTCAACAACTCGGCGGCCGGGTGGCTGTGCCGCGGCCGTTCGCCGGGCCGCCGCTAATGGGGGCCGCGCTCATGTCGGCCCGTTAGGGCTCGAGTGGCCTCGATTGGGCCGCCAACTAACGAACTCCCGCAGCCGGCTGGCATTAACGACCTCGACGAAACGGCACCGTCTGCTGGCGCCGCCGGCGGCCGCTTTATTGAGGCTTCTGCACTCTCTGACCAAACGTCTTATTTTTTCAGTTCTACGATGAAAAGGAAGCGAGAAAGTACACATCCAAGTAAGTCAACAAAAGTGGGCGTTAGGAGTTAGGACTCCGTCGAAACTGGGCTATTTTTTATTCTTTTTATTAATTGACATATTTATGATTTAATCATATCCTAGTCTGTGAAATGTCACTTAATTTCTCGGCGTGCTAAAACAGTATCGCAAAGCTGCGGCTACACTAAATGTCAACTTCTTGAACTTTTTTATGCAAATAATTAACAGACCCGATCGTATTTCTCGAGTTGCTACCTCCGCTGCTGACACTGTGCGATGCGATACGTAGCTAAATTGTACTGCGTTTGTTCCGTGTCCGTCCTTTCTAACTATACCTACGATGACCATTCTCCTGTGCGTCCGTCAGCACGCGGATGATGGAGGTGCAGGAGAAGATGACGGAGCGCGCGCTGGAGCTGCTGGCGCTGCCGGAGGACGTGCCACACCTGCTGCTGGACCTCGGCTGCGGCTCGGGGCTCAGCGGCGAGACAATAACCGAGGCCGGCCAGATGTGGGTCGGCTGCGACATCTCACCCGCCATGCTCGGTACGGATTTAAACCCGCGGGGGACGGTCATGCTGGGTACGGACTAACCTGGAGGGCAACGGTACGATTGTTCGGTACGGATTTCACTTACCAGGGAGGAGGTTGGTGGCACAAGGCCGATCGATCGGTGACAGTACGTGCCCGGAGGTTATGCTGTAATTATGGTGCGTTCGGTACGTGTTTTTAGACACGCATGGACGCACGAGGTAAAGCATGGATGGTAGTTGAAAGAAGAGAGAAAGGGGAGCGTTAGTGCCGCCTACGTGCGTCATGTGTTCACTGTTCAGTTTTTACGCCACGGTCGCTAGATGGCGCTGACGGTACACGCCTGGGCGGTATACTGCGCCGCACGACACCGGAATAAAGCTGCCGAGCGGCGGCTCGATGGTGCTGACTGCGGCGATTAGTGATTGGCGAGCGCCATCAAAGCTATCTGTATTCTGCTGTCATCACGCAATCGACCTCTGAGAGACGGAATTCTGACTACGTAGGCCACATTCAATTACGGCCCGTCTGTTTCTCCTCTATTTAATAATATGGCTCATTCTTAACGATTTGCCAAAATTTTCATGTGCATGTAGAGAAAAGGCTTAGTTGAAACTAGCTTATAACGCTTAAAGAGCTCATTTTTATTTATCATTAAGCACCCACTTTTCGAAGTAATTTTCTTCGATCCTCGGCGTTTGACATTTTGAACTGCATTATCCCTGTTTTTCCCCTTGTATATAGTACTGCAATAGTTAAGCTCAATCCCTGTATTCTGTGACAGAATGAGACCTATATTTAGCATTGTAAGTCTTTCCCTGGGTTAGCGCATTTACTATTTGGCTACCGCTGAAGTTCGGAACGCGCCGGTAGTATTTCAGTCGCTCTTGGAATTCGTACGAATAAATAGTGCGGTGACCTTTGTTGCAATATGAGGCCGGTGGGAATCAACGATCCCTGGTGACAGAGCCCAATGCCCATATATGGCTGACTTTTTATGATGTGAGTGACGAGAACGGATGTATAGAACTGTTAGCGCTCGTAGCTATTTGCGGAATAGAATTTCGGCGTCCTTCCCTGATCGTGATAGAGGCCTGAAATGTAGGTATTATATTAAGGTGAAAAACATGAACTACTCCACACATTTCTAAAGCGAGCTACACTCCGTTGCTAGTACTACCGTTTCCGCCGTCGATGATTTTGTGTAAATCCCCCGCTAGGCCTTGTACAAGTGTTTTTTTTTTTGTGAAATTGTGTGGCACATGGTAGATGACATCTAGCTTGAACTGTTGAGCTTTACTCGAAAAATTGTAGGAGCTGACTAAAAAAGAAATATTGGCTACAGTTAACCTGGTATTTCACATGGAACAATCATGTATTTCGGTGGGGTCCGTCTCTCTGTTCCTCCTTTAGTCCTCGCCCTACCTTTGGCCACCTAATGGTTATCGTCGTATCCACAGACGTGTTACGTAGTTGTCCGTCCCCTGTCGCCGTTCTGACCACTGTTTGCCCACAGACGTGTTACGTAGTTGTCCGTCCCCTGTCGCCGTTCTGACCACTGTTTCCCCACAGACGTGTTACGTAGTTGTCCGTCCTCTGTCGCCGTTCTGACCACTGTTTCCCCGCAGACGTGTTACGGTAGATGTCCGTCCCCTGTCGCCGTCTAACCACTGTTTCCCCACAGACGTGGCCCGGGAGCGGGAAGTGGATGGGGACGTCCTGCTGAACGACCTGGGCCAAGGCCTGCCGTTTCGGGCGGGCGCGTTCGATGGAGCCATCAGCATTTCGGCACTGCAGTGGCTCTGCAACGCCGACAAAAAGGACCACGTGCCACCCAAACGGCTCTACAAGTTCTTCTCGTCGCTCTACGGCTGTTTGGTGAGCGGAGTGCGGGGATGACCGATGGGGTCGAGATCCGGCCGCCGTGGTGAACTCCTGGATTTATAAGCTGTTTAGTCGCACTGCAGGGTAGGAGCAAACAAGAGCTACTGTGAAACTTATCGTTGATTGTCTTGGCTGGGACTGTCAGAGCGCATTCAGCGAATGGTGTATTTGGAATGCCGAATATGATATAGGTATTAGGTACGATTAAAAAAGTAACGTTATTCTTCATATCATGATGGTACTTGTGATCTCCAGCGCTCTGCCCTGCCAGGGTAGTTCGTATGTCGCTCACTGACACTCAGCTGCCCAGTCCCAGCGTTCCGCCAGCTCGGACTCCGCTGACGCCAGCGCCACCTGTCTCTCGCTCTAACACCACTCTCCGTGCAGGGCCGGGGCGCGCGCGCCGTCTTCCAGTTCTACCCGGAGAACTCTGCGCAGGTGGAGATGATCACCTCCCAGGCCATGAAGGCCGGCTTCACGGGTGGCCTGGTGGTCGACTACCCCAACAGTACCAAGGCCAAGAAGATGTTCCTGGTGCTGATGACGGGCGGCGCGCAGCCGCTGCCGGCCGCGCTCGGAGAGGACGGCCCCGCCAACACGGTCGTCTATACCAAACGGTGGGTGTGGGCCTGTGTGGGGATAGGGGTCCGGGGTCACAGCTGGGTAGCGGGAGGGCGTGCGTTTTGGTGGCAGGCAAGGCCCTATATACCGTGGGAGGTGTGATGCTGCCGGGCCGGTCGATTGATATGAGGTAGGACGTGAAATAGTCTGGGTCTGAGAATCATAAAAAGAAAGCGCGTGGCTTTATTTTCATCATCACACGACTGCATCCTTAAAGCCGCATCTACAAGCAGCTTTAAGGATCAGAATAATTAAAAGAACCTGCTGACTCGTGGCGTTTCTTTGATGTCTTTGTCAAGAAAGATGGGAACCATATTCCACACCAATTTTTCAACTCCCTTTCCTCTCTCTTATATTCCGTCCACCTTTTTCCTCTGCCACTTCAATTTGCATTCCCATGAGCCGTCAGCCGCTGTATTTCCGCGCCGGTTCGTATGCGGCCAGTGAATCGTCGGCCGGCCGTAGCCCCGGCCGTTTGGCCGACCGGATGGCTCCGACGGGTGACGTTGTCTCGGAACGGTCGGCTCCATAGTCTGACTCATCGTCCTCTCGTGGCTGCCTGCGCGCCGGCATCGGACGGATGTCTGCGCGCCGGCATCGGACGGATGTCTGCGCGCCGGCATCAGGCGGATGTCTGCGCGCCGGCATCAGGCGGATGTCTGCGCGCCGGCATTGGGCGGATGCCTGTGCGTCATTGGGCGAATGTCTGCGGGTCATTGGGCGGATGTCTGCGCGCCGGCATCGGACGGATGTCTGCGCGCCGGCATCAGGCGGATGTCTGCGCGTCGTTGGGTGGATGTCTGCGCGCCGTCATCAGGCGGATGTCTGCGCGTCGTTGGGTGGATGTCTGCGCGTTCTTGGATGCGCGTTTGTCTCCTCTGAGCGTCCTCGGGTCATTGTCTCTATGGTCATGCCGTGGCTGTCTGTATCATCCTCCCGTGGCTGCCTGCGCTTTGCACCGTCCTTTCGTGACTGTCTCTATCTTCCTTCGTTTGTCTGTGCGGGCCACTGTCGCTGCCTGTGTCTTCCTCCCGTTGGCTGCGCGTCGTTGCTCCGGACGCCGGGACCGGAGTCGGAGGCGCCTCTATCACGGTTCAGAGACGGAGCTAAGCCGCCCTCATTTGTATGCCGCGCGCTGATTGGCGACTGTTTGCGGCGTCGGCCGGCCCGCCGTCATATTGTACGCCGCGGTCGCTTTGTCTTCGTCTGTTAGGTAGATAGAGTAACGGGTGAGCTCGTAATGTGGAGAACGAGTGGAGGCCTGGTAACCGACCGACCGACCCCCCTGAATGAAACATGATGTGAGCTGGTGCCGGGTTGGATTCCCCGTACCTGAGCACGACTGTTATTGCCTCGCCAGTCCGTGGGCGGGCTGTTTCCACCGACTGAGGAGTTTCGTCGGGCGGTTTTCGGAGAATATTCGGCTGCCGATTACCGGTCTATATGTCAGCGTGGGAGCAACTGGTCTGCCCTGTGCCACTGGGGGCTCTGTGCGCCCCGGGGGACTGCGGCAGAGGTCGCCTGCCTGTCGCCGCCCGGTCCGCCGGCCGGTCGGTAGCCGTCGCCATGTGTCGCCGCCGGCCGGGACCCGAGTTTATTGGCGGCGACCGCCTCTGGGCTTCTCTCTGCCGGCCGGCCGCAGCTGGTGAGTCGAGTTTCCGGCGGCCCAGCCCGACCACACGCCGATTTATTCCGACAATCGCGCGCGGCCGGCGCCGCTGGCGGCCCGCCAGGACGATCGATGCCACACGGCCGGAGCGGCCGGCGGGCAGGAGCGGCCGAGGGCGGCGAGCGGGCAGAGGGCCACCCAACACCGCACCGGCGCCGTGGCCCAGCCCGACCGGCAGCCGTGAGCGGGACCTGACAGCAGCGGTAGAATGACAGCGGTAGAATGGCTTGTCGTGGCAGACTTGACCCACCAATGTGGCAGACTGACCCTGTTTTATGTTGGAGGTTAACTCGCCATGTGCGGACAACTTATCTGTCGCTGATGACAAACCGACCCCTCCCACTCCGGTTGGCTGTGCCAGTCTGTTTGGCACACACAGATAGCCTGGTACATTAGATAAGCAAATCCCTCTGGTCACGGTAGAGTGAGACTATCCACTTCATCACTGGAGCGAGCCGTGCGGCAAGTGTCGCTGAGCTCGCCTCCGTGTCCCCCCCCCCTCCCCGGCTCGTCTCCGGTGACCGGTGGACTCCCCCTCCCCTGAGACTGTGAATAGCGCGGTCGCTGCTGTTGCCGGGGCGGACGGTGGTCGAACGGTGAGAGTGGTGAGAGCGCCTGGACTGGCTCACGGGCGCCGAGAATGGCCGACCTGCGGGATGGCCGTGGGCGTGGAGCTAGTGGGGTGAGGAGCTGGGGTCGGTCACGGGTGGGGGGGGGGGGGGTGGCCTCTGGTGGGTGGGGGTTTGTCACTGGTGGGGGAGGGGGGGGGGGGGGGTTGGTCACTGGTGGGGGAGGGGGGGGTTGGTCACTGGTGGGGGAGGGGGGCTAGTCACTGGTGGGTGATGGGTGGGAATTTGTGGGGTGAGGGGTGGGGGCTGGTCACTGAGGCGGGGGCCGAGACTGGCCACTATGACCTTGTTTGGACATGTGGAGCAGGTGGATGGGGAGGGAGGCGGGGCGTCAGACTGGCGTTGGCGGCGCCTGCTCTCGCTGGAGGATGACGAAATATCCATCTTGAGCAGCCAGCGACCGGAGGCGAATTAGCTTCGAAGAAGTTGCACACATGCTCTCAACGCCTCCGAATTAATGTTACGGGAATATTAGCCATGTAATGAAGTTTCGGGAAAATCAGCTCCCACTGCATACATCACGGTTTGATGAGTGGGCGTGAATAACAAATTTCATCATCTCCCCAGTCATGAAGGTAATGTTCCTGGAAGCATTGTTTTTATCATTTTCATTGGCCTGGCACCTGTCACGCGCTGCCCGTATTGGCACGGGCGCTTGGCTAGATGTGTCCTATTCCATGTTAACTCGTGTTACATTTATGTCCGTTGAGCTGCACTGCAGGTGGCCTGTGTCTATTACGTTGTATTTGTGTGGCTGTGTCTCTTTGTTACCCTGTAGCGTGTGCCTGTATGTATTTCCTGCCACTCAACCTTCTGTGAACTTCTTGGTCCAATGTCTATTCTTTCCTGCTTGTTAGAACGGTCGGTAGCCCCGTGTTTCTCGTGCCTACTGGCCGCATGTCCGTGTATTCCGTGCCCCCCCCCCCCCCCATCCGTATGTCTCCCCGCACTGACAGTTGTGTGTCAGTGTATCCCGTGTCTCCCATCCGTAATCCGTATGTCTAGTCTGTGTGTCCCGTGCCTCCCATCCGTATGTCTCCGCGCACTGATGGCCTGTGTGTCCATGTATCCCGTGCCTCCCATTTGTATATCTCCCCGCACTGACAGTATGTGTGTCCGTACTCCGTGTATCCCGTGTCTCTCATCCGTATGTCTCCCCGCACTGACAGTCCGTGTACCCCGTGTCTCCCATCCGTATGTCTCTCCGCGCGGTGACGGCTGGTGCGTGTCCCCTCAGGGACCGGATGCGACAGATCCGCGGTAAGCCGCCCAAGAGCTCGCGCGACTGGGTCAAGGAGAAGAAGGACCGCCGTCGCCGACAGGGTAAGGAGGTGGCACGCGACTCCAAGTACACCGGGCGGCGGCGGGCCGGCGGCTTCTGAGGGACGGGAGGGAGGGGAGCGGTGGCCTTGCGTGTGCTGTGTAATGTAATGTATTGCGCCGCGTGCGGTGTCCGAGCGCGATGTCCATAGGTCTGCTGACGAAAAGCAGATGATTATGATGTGTCCGGTGACACGACTTTGCAGATGTTGACGGTCGCTGCAATAATAAAACGGCCGGGTCCTGATTGTTCGTAATATTTCCCTCCGCTCACTTTTGGATGTACCTACACCGCAATCACATCAACACTGATAAGAAAATGCTCACCACACGGTACTAACGCTGCCACGAACCTAGCACCTTGACACAATGGGTAACCCCTAATAATTACACAGCGTTCACATGCTGCTGACTCGGAAACAAGAGAGTGGTGTTGAAGTGAAGAGCTGTCACGCCACACGGCTGCACGCACCCTGCTCACGCGTCCACACGCACTGGGCGGGCGGTCCGGCGGGGCGGGGCGGGGCGGCGGGCGGTCACACCGCACTCGGGCCGGGCCGCCGTCCGTCCGCCCTTCCTTCTGTCCTTCTGTCCGTCCGTCTGCCCCACGCCCTGTCCGTCCACCGTTATTGCTCGGCGGGGACGCTCCACCCGGCGCCACTCACGCTCATTCAGACGCTCCGCAGACGCCGGAGACGCACCTTCGTTGGCTACGGGACTGGCCGCGCGCGCTCGAACCGGGACGCGTCGCGCGGCGCGGCGCGGCGCAGCGATATGTGATGGAGGTGCTGGCGCCGCGCGGCGGCACTCTCAATAAAGCTGAAGTGGCCAAACTACGGGCGTGAGATTCTAGGCCATGTGAGATCACTTAAGTCGGACCGAGGTGGTATCAAAGCGGTTCACGACCCTCGACTACTACTGCCTTATACTCACTTTACAACAGGTGGATTCACAGGTTCGTAGGTTTGTCGATTCAGCTTTACGAAGCTGGCCGCTGGTCGGCGACTCGGCGTCGACTCTGTGCCGACGGGTGCCGCAGCAGAGCGCAGCTAAAAGCTCTTGGAAAGCATCCGGGATAAAATCACTTTGCGAGATCTTATTGAAGCTACAAATCCTAACACACGCATGTTGTATCTAGCTACCCTAAAGAAAATGGAACATCAATAATGCACTATGCATCTAGCGACGCCGGGCCGGAAAGGCCAGTTGGGTGGCGGCCGTGTGGCCGTCGGTGCCGCCTCGGGTCGGCCGGCGGCCGGCGGCCGGCGGCTCTGCTGACCGGGTGCAGCGGCTCTGCCTGCCGGCCGCGGTACTGCCGACGCTCGGCCGGTCGACCAATGGTGCCGCTCGCTCGGCAGGGCAGGGCGACGAGAAGGCGGGGCGCGCGCGGCGGCCGGCTGTCGGCGGGCCGCCGGTGGCCGCCGTCCTGCAACGCAGCCCAGCCCCGGTCACAAATTGAACACGTAAACGGATGGGCACAGACAGAGTGCAGACAGCAAAATGACGGCGCAGGCGTGAAACGGATGACCACTTACGAGGTCCATGGCGAAAAGGGCAGACTTTTGTTGAGAACAGTCGATAATCAGACTGACAGCAAATGGAGCACAGACGGCAATCAGACTGGCTGCAAGTGGACGGCAAAAGATGGAAGACATACAGCAATGGCAAAGAGGAGTGTTTCAGCACATAAGGTAAATGGACAGACACAGACAGTGCTCATATGGTAAACGGACGGGAAGACAGCGCTCATACGGTAAACGGACAGCCACAGACAGCGGGTATACGGTATATAGACGGACGTCGGACACAAACAGTGCACATACGGTAAACGGATGGCCACAAACAGCGGGTAAACGGACAGGATTCTGACAGGCACATATAAAGTGCAAACAGTCAATGGATGAGCACAGATGTATCAAATAGGTACGGTGGACAGGTGAGCTCAGACGGTGAACGGAACTTGCGTAACACGCAGATAAGCGGCGCCAGTCAGGTGCAGGTGCGTTTCCGCTGCCGTCACCGGTGTAGGCGTCGGGCGGGAGGCTCGTGACCGCCGGAGCCGCCCACACAGCCGACCGTGGCACGGCTTTGAGCGGCGGCCCCGATCGATCAACGACAAAACACTGCATGGGCGGCCACAGTGACTCAGCGCCGCGCCGCGCCGCTTCACGGGCGGTCTCTAAGCGTCCGGGCAAACTGTTATAAAACTATCAGCCCCCGGCGCCCATGGTTTCCTTACAAATTGCCATTTCGGTCATTCTGGGCTAACGAACGGCCGGTATATTGCCGGCTATACCATTAGCGACGTGCCGTAAAGGTTATAAGAAACCGCCAGAGGCTAAATGGCTGCCCTTTGATGTCGCTGCACCTTCCGGCGGCGGTGGCGCTTGTGTCGGTCGTCCGGCGGGGCCGCGTGACCTTTGACCGTGGAGCGGGCGCCACAAGTGTCGGTCCAGCGCCGCTCGGGCCGGCCCGCTCTGAGTTCATTCAGCCGGCGGCGGCCAGTGTGAGTCGGACGGACGCCCGCCATCGATCGGCCCGACTCGGGTGACGGCCGCCGGCGCCGGCGAGTCCCGGCTCCGCGCGCCGCGCCGCCGGACACACCGCTGACTCACTTCCGGAGCGAGCCGGAACCGGGCCCGGGGTCACCAACACCGCCAACACTGACACCGACACCGTGACACGGCGCGACCGCGTGTCCGCCCTCACAGGTCATCTCCCATACTCCTTCTGAGCTAGTTCTGTCATGGGCTATCTCCGGAAAGTGAGAGCCACTCTTTCATCGTTATTCGACGCTATCAACTGGTGTGTTCGCCGCGATCCGGCGGCGCCGCACCCGCGAGCCGCCGGCCGCTCGGGCAATCCACCAGTAATCCGGCCGGCTCGTCCGGCTGAGCCTCCATTACGGCCGTCATCAGCGGCGCTGCTCGGCCGCGCGGCGATGACGTTTGAGCGTGCGGTGCGGCGCACTGCCGGCCGGCGAGTGACGCCAGCAGCCGCACCTGCTCCGGACAAGGTCACCAGGCACAGGTGTGGCTCGTAACATCCGCCTCGCGCCGATTTGGCCCAGACGGGTATGATAGACACTGCCAGGTGCGGGGGCTGCCTGCCGGTTGAGAACGAGACGGCTTCTCGGTGAAATTGTTCTCGGCAATAAAAGGCAATGACTAGATCTAGTTTGTACTTTGTTGAAGTCATGAAGCTAACAATCGTGTTGGATTCACGCATAAGCGCCGAATTACCGTCAGTCGGTCAGCTGTATGTAGATCTGTTAACCGGGGCGTCACTCTACACGCCTACCTTAGCGGGCGTCGGCGCACATGCCCCACAGCTCACAGAACAATTTAAACCTAAAGTACGAACATCTTAAAAAAGTCATATTTGACCGTGGGTCCGGAAAATGAAAGGCTCCTATTTTAACCCTCGCCGGCCCGTAAACGGTGTTTTGCCACCTTCGCCCATGCAGGGGGGGGGGGGTTGGTGCGACCCCCCCCCCTGGCGTTTGAAAACGAAGCGTCGTAGAGCTTAGCGGAAAAGACCAACGGATTGCTCTCAACGAGATCTCGCGATTGGTGGTATATTTTTTGGTCCTAGGACAACATTTGACCCACTTATGACCGGTCAAAGGTCAAATTTTCGGAAAAATCAAACTTTTTCATATTTCCGCGCCAATTGCGGCAAAACGGTAAGAGATATCGACTTGAAACCAGGGCCTCGGCTAAGGAATTTTGACTGGTGGGCCACTTGGGCAGCGACATGGACTGGCCTTCGTAGCCATAGCCCCCCTCCCCCAATTTTCGATTTCTCCCCAGATTTCGGCCACTTTATTCTGCAAAAAACGTCAGGATGGCATTCAAAAAATGTAAAAAATGTAAAAAAAAATGGGCTCGACCCCCCCCGACTCTTCAGAAAGAGAGGAGAGAGTAGGGACCCACAACCCTCTCAGTGGTGATACTCCCGCGGTGCACATAAAATTGCGCAAGCACGGAATATATAGTCTACGACATATCGTAGTACATATCGACATATCGACATGTCGTAGACTATATATTCCGTGGCACAAGTATGCACACAATATTGACGCAGATTATAAAACTTTGGACGATAACTTACGGCCGTGAGTGGATCGCTCGCCGACTAGTCGGAGATTCGGAAGCGGTCGGCCGGGATCGGGCGTTGTTGGATGGATCGGGAGGAATTGTGAACAGCACGATTGCAACTTTATATATAAAGTGGGTTGTAGCAGGAACCCCAAAAGGGGGTTGTAGCAGCAACCCCAACATCTCTGAAAATGATCATTAAGCCTATTGGTGTTGCATGGAAAATAATTGACTCAAAAGCCCAAGCGCACTGCACAGCCCTGATATTTTCTTTAAAAAAAAACTAAGTTATGTACACGTTCACTTCTGGTGAACAGTGTCCCAAACTTCAGATTTCTCTTGGGTGTCTGAGTGGAAAATTCGAGCCACCCAAAATGTGAGAGTGGAAAATTATCCATTCTTATTCTTGAGTGTCATCTTCAGCCCAAATGAGAAATTTTTGGAACGCTGACTGTGAACGGTTCGAAATTCGTCCAACTGGTCAGATGTGTGACTGCAAGCATCATACCGGTCGTGAAGACGCATAATATCGCTTGCAGACTTCAATCGGCTGGAAGTCGCCGACACTACCTCTAGTTTGACTCTGGCTTATATCGTGTATCGGCGAGCCGTCTGAGATCGCTCGCAGGCTTATCCCCGACCGTCTGAACTGGTCTGTTCTTTATTCGTAGTTTTCCTTGTAACCGACTGGTCTGCGGCAGATGCTTATGTGACTGCAACCACTCGATCGATCGGAAAGCTTGCAAGAACTCTCGCAGACCTCGATCGGCTGGAAGCCGCCGACACTATCTGTAATTGACAGAGGCAGACGTCTTTCGCGATTATTGCATAAAAGTTAAAGCCTCGGTCACACTTCACCGGATTGGACCAGCGGACGAGAAACGGACGAGAACTGTCAGCGTCCGGTGATATCCGGTTGTTTCCGTTGGACGTCCGTTTGTCATCCGTTAATGTCCGTTCCATGTCCGGTGGTGTCCGGTTGAGCACACCGGACACCACCGGACATGGAACGGATATGAACGGATGAGAAACGGACGTCCAACGGAAACGAACGGACATCACCGGACGCCGTCCGTCTCTCGTCCATTGGTCCAATTCGGTGAAGTGTGTCCGAAGCTTAGTCCACTATAGTTCACTTTTTACCCCAA